CGTGTCGCAAAAAAAGTCATGTCGTTTTTCCATGGAAATCAAAGCCAAAAGATCGGGTTTCGTTCACCTGTCAATAACATATTTAAATGAACTAATGTAATTTGAACACGTGGGCATCATCCAGCATTTTGATTGGTTAATTAGCGACTTGACCTCCCCGGTCAAGTAACGTCTCGTATGCATTCAAACTACATGGCGGATGTCGTATTGCATCAATCGTTTACATGTGACCGTAATAATTCGCTTACGGTGAAACTAAGTTGAATTTTATTTGCATTTGATAACAATTCAACAAATTTATTTTTCATGCGTCACTACTGAGTAATAATCAACAATTTCAACACTTCGAAAACAAGTAAGTTATTCACTTGTGAGCCGAAGCATGGCCGGATTGCGTTACTGTACCCATGGTTCCGTACTTTCTTTAGTGCTGTACCATCATCATTTTCTACTAAGCAATGCATTGTTTGTTTTTATTTGAAACTCCTGTCAGAATATACTTTCCGTTATGAAGAAAATTAAAAAAATAAATGCATATTACATTAAATATACTCAGTATTTTTTTTCATGTAAACAGTTTTTTTGTGGCGTGACGTTTATCACTCTTTCCTGACATTCCTGAGTTACGCTTACATTCAAAAGATTGTACGGTGTATTGTTTGTTGTCTGGGAAAAAAATGACCACGCCCATTTAGTGATTGCAATATGTACGTAATAGGAACCGCACCCCTAACTTGAGCTGTTGATCCCAATTTTTTATTTGATACATTGTAATATAAACCGTGGTTTATAATAGGATTTTAACGGTACATATCTATATATTTTTCGCCATTTCTTTGACAAACCTTATTAATTAATTATTATGACTATTTATTTAAGAAGATGGGAACGGACTAGATTAGCAGTCACATGACTGCTATTTTCCAATCCCATTCTCACTTATTTTCTTGCATTGTATTTAGTTTTTGATTCTATTATTGTATTGGTTATAATAAGGAGAATAAACTTATTTAAACTTTAAGATACCACATGGTATCGATTGACCAATGAGAATGTTGCAAGCAGTGATTGCACTTTACAAACGAAAGTCATATTCCGATGTATAAAACTTGCATACATCACATGAAATTTGAATGCTTGTTACAAGACGATTCTAATCTTAATATTGTATATAAACTACTGTGGTCACATGAAAATGTTAGTGACATCGACTGACTGTTAGTAGATATTCATCGAACTCCCTTCTTACCTGCGCAAACAATTGTTCATGCAGTGCTACTTCCTGTAATCGGTCTTTCTCGGGTCCCATCGGCACGTAGTCGTCAGGGATTTGAAAATCTTCAGGTCTATCAGCAGAACACATTTCACATCCTGGACGAGTTGGTGGATTCACAAATGTACATATTGGACAGGTCCAACCGTCCTAAAAAAACAAAATACAGGTTAATTGTGTATACATTATCATTAACTTTGAAGAGAAAATTATAGCCATTTAAATTATATTAATGATGCATACCCGTGATACACTGCCCTGTCTTTGTGCTGGTGGAGGCGGTGGTGGTAATAGAGGTCTTTGTGGTGAATTACCGATAACATTACTAGCTGTGGCACCTATAAAACAATGTATTTTCATACAATAAAGTTATTTTATGTTATGACATATTTTAGTTTCTTTATCATTATATTATACTCGTCAATTACAGTTTTTTTTTATATAATAGACATAATCTCATATAGACATACACTTAGTGGTAGACATAATATTGTATACCCAGTAATAGACATACACTTAGTGGTAGACAATCTTATATAGACATACACTCAGTAGTAGACATAATCTTAAATAGCCAGTTATAGACATACACTTGGTGGTAGACATAATCTTAAATATCCAGTGGTAGACATACACTCAGTGGTAGACATAATCTTAAATACCGAGTGATAGGCATACACTCAGTGGTAGACATAATCTTATATAGCCAGTGATAGACATACACTTAGTGGTAGACATAATCTTAAATAGCCAGTGGTAGACATACACTCAGTGGTAGACATAATCTTATATACCCAGTGATGGGCATACACTTAGTGGTAGACATAATCTTATATAGCCAGTGATAGACATACACTCAGTGGTAGACATAATCTTAAATACCCAGTGATAGACATACACTCAGTGGTAGACATAATCTTATATAGCCAGTGATAGACATACACTTAGTGGT